ATTATTTATTTAGTGTATAGGGTTATATAATTGCTTTAGTATATCTCGTCATAGATGAGATAACTGTAATAATAGATGTGTAAAAAAATTAACTTTTTAAAATTTAACAAATTTTAATATACTATGTCATTGAATAAGAGATAAGACAAACAATTTTGAATGTAAACTGTCTGACATCTTGTATTTTTAAATGACTATTTTAATAATTTAGGTAATTTTCTATTTAAAATTCAGAGGTTAAACTAATTTTTGCAAAAAACAAAATTTCGATCGCGTTTTTAGAACACAAAAGTGTCTTACAGGAAAGACTATTATGCCCTTCAGAATAGTCGCATTCCGTTAATATTTTTAAATTTAAAATAAGAGAACATTTTGCAGGTTGGATCAATACCGAATTTCAAAATTAAAAATTTTGAAGCTGAATTAAGCATTTGAATAATGTATAATATTTGTTATTTTTCAAACGCAATTTTCTAGAACTCTTTAAAGTAAAATGAAAATTCAGGCTTCGACCCGAACTAAAAGAAGTTCTCATATTTCAAATACCTAGATTATCAAAATTGAACTTATAAATAGGTTATAGGTTAGGTAATATAATAAGGTGAAAGAGTTAGTGGCCGATTATGTATTATTATTTATTAGGTACTAGGTACCACGCCTACAAATTTTAAACCTGTGTACTGTGTATATAGTAGACAAGTAGTAGTACTATTCTTACCTATTTATAGTTATAGTTACGAAAAATCATAAAAGTCCTATAAATTATAATATACCTAGAACCTACATAATATTATGGTACAATAATTTTAATTTTTATACGTCACTCATAGGTGACATCATTTTTCGACATTTTAATCTGGTGATATTTCGTAGATATCTGAATAAGTTTTGGCAGTCAAAATGACAACTAACCCATTCAAACCTTTAACAACCCAAAATGAACATAATTAATGTCAAGGATATCATATTAGTCAACTGGAATGCTAATGGACTAAAATCCAAAAGGTTTTATAGCAGAATTTCTATCACGACACAAAATCGACATTGCTAGTATCACCGAAATACACCTAAAGGATTCTGAAAGAGGAGTAGCAATACTGATTAAAAAAAACCTAAAACCCAACGTAATAATATTGCCGCCTACACTTCAGATGGAAACAGTAGCAATAAATCTTATAACAGATAAACATGACTTACATGTTATATTAGCATACAACCCACCGAACAAGAAAATTCAAAACTCAGACTTGCCCAAGCTTTTCAATAATACCCCCACCGGCCCCACCATACTCCTAGGAGATCTCAATTCCAAAAACAAAATCTGGGGCTGTAAAAAAACAAACCCAAACGGTCAAAAATTGTACGAGTACACGTCAGATTTAAACATCATGGTCTCCCCTCCACCGTGTCCAACCTTCTACCGAACATGAGTTACCCTGGGCATATTAGATATTGCTCTAATCTCAAACTTCCCTACAAACTTATACCACAAAGTATTAAACGAGCTCGACTCTGATCATGTCCCGGTTTTAACAACCCTAAGAATACAAGCAGAAACTATCCCTCCCGTACCAAAACTGATAAATCGGCCAATAAAATGGGAAATCTTCAAAGACAATATAATAGATAAAATATTAAAACCAAACAGAAAATACTCAAATACAAACGATATAAACTCGGGAATAATACATCTCACAGAATCTATCAAATCAGCGATAGACTTATAGCACTAGCTCCACCAAATTACAAAAAAATCTCATAACACACCAATACCATCCCACATACAAAGCCTAATAAAAAAAAAAAACATAAGGTACGAAGAATTTGGCAAACACACCTATCACCAGCAGTCAAAAAACGTTTAAATCAACTAACAAGAAGGGTAAAATGGGAACTGGATAATCTCTCTCACTCCCAACCTTCTCTAAACTCCTCGAAAGAATCTTGCTGCGCAGAATTAAACCATTCCTAAAAATCATACCACTACATCAATTTGGTTTCAAACCATTCCATTCAACAACCCATCAGCTACAACGGATCTCTGAAATAATAGTAAACGGTTACGAAAATAAAAAATTTACCATAACAGCCTTCTTAGACATATCTCAGGCATTTGATAAGGTTTGGCACTTATTTCAAAAATAAAAACCCTAAAACTACCTACATACCTTAACAATACACTCCTGTCATTTATAACAAATCGCAACTTTTAAGTCAGAATAGGAACAGATATATCACAAATACATAGAGTAAAGGCTGGAGTTCCACAGGGATCTGTGCTAGGACCAACTCTATTTAATATATACTGTCACGATATACCAACACCACAACACTGCCAGCTAGCAATGTTCGCAGATGACACAGCAATAATAACGCAAAACCAAACTCTTGAATCTTCAATAAGAGATCTACAAAGCTCCCTCGATGAACTATCGTTTTGGTTCTCAAAATGGAAACTAACACTAAACTCAACCAAAAGCGAAGCAAAAATATTTACACTTAGAAAATATATAAACCCGACTCTACTTCAAATGAACAATAAAGAAATCAACTGGAACAACAAAGACGAATCAATAAAATATCTGGGCCTGCACCTTGATGAAAAACTAAGCTGGAAAATACACATTAACAAAAAATTAAACCAAGGATACACAAGGCTACGAATACTGTACCCTCTATTGTACCATAGCTCTACCATACAAATGAAATGCTCTCTACTCCTTTATACAGCAATAATAAGACCACTAGAAACCTACGCATGCCCAGTATGGGCAGCCGTCTCAAAAGTAAAAATTACAAAATTACAAACTCTTCAAAATAAATTCTAAAGAATAGCCCTAAAGGCCCCTTGGTTTATGAGAAACAAACAACTACACAACGATACGGGCCTACCACACCTATCTACCTGGATAACACAACAATTTAAAAGTTTCTACGAAAAACTCCACAAAGTAGATGGAGCTCGTCACTACAACATCGGCAACTGGCAAGAGATCCACAAATCTGAGACTCAAACCTCGGCTACCTCAGGACACCCTACTAGATCCCAATGAAGACACCTCAACCTCAGATACTGATACAGACTCATAGCTAACCAAAACTATTATACATTATATGATATAAGATCTGTAATCTGCATAGGCGGAGATCGGGGGGGGGGGGCTTACGGGGGCTTAGTCCCCCCAAAATAAATGATTTTAAGTTAAAGACCCCCTAAGAATATTAAATAAACAATACCGTAATTTTGTATAGTTTGCAGAACTTTTTTCATTATTTTATATTCTTATATCCACAATTATATAAGTGTACCTAGTACATTACATACACACTATTTACCAATTTATTATTTACGGTAACATACCGAACAATTAAGTCACACTTCACAATAATATTATATTGTGTTTATATACCTAATATTGTACATATTTTGTACCAATCGGCCATCTATATTGAATAACATATTAAACCATTCTATTTTAGATGGGAAAAATATTATTTCTTTTCCTAATTTTTGTTAATTCTCGAGAAGCGATAGCTATCATAGGACTATCGCTATAGCTGTATTAAACCTATCGTAAAGTTTATCGCGATTGAATGAATCGTTAACCGTATTGACCATTTTAATTATATTTTACTTATTGCTTGATGTTCTTGGGAATACATTTCTTTTGAGATTGTGATGTAGATTTAATAAATAATTTAGTTCAAATATGTTTGAAATATTTAAATTTAAATCGTTTATTAATTTTTTTTTTTTATGTTTGTAACTATTTAAGTTGTTATGATAACGAGTCAACGAGAACAATTTTTTATGAGTGATCTAATGTAAAAATTAGTTTGTTGAGGGTGTGGGGGCAATGCCCCCAAGGGTCTGTTTGTCATCAAATATTTAAGCCCCCCTTAATATTTCACAAGATCTCCGCCTATGGTAATCTGTAAAATAGTAACATTGTAAAAATACCAGGTGTATTGAATATTGATACAATTGTATTAATAAATAAAAAAAAGTTTTGGCAGTCGATTATTTAACCACTCGGCTATCGATCTTTCAGAGTTCCGTACAATACGTCCATACTCAATGGTAATATAATATTTGTAGTGAAAAAAGTTTCAATATAACTTATGTTTTGAATGCAAAAAAATATTTATTTTTCGTTAAAATATCCAATATTGATAAAATGTGAACTTGGTTAGTTTAATTAAATACCAGGTCTGTTAACATTTTTTCTAGTAGAAATAATGCTTCGATTTTAAACTTAAGCATTTTTTCTGGCTGCATCCGAGTTGGGTCCCAAATTTAAAATTGCTACACTAGCTGGGTGCCTGAGTCCCAGATTTTTATAGTTACTACCTACACTAGTAAGGTCCTGAATTATTTTAGCTACAACACTAGTTCTTGAATATTTTATGGTAAGTACTATATACACCATAATAACATTTTCCTTCCCATTTTAACAGACTTAGGACTGTCTATGATCTATTTAGATCACAGGTGTGGTTAAAAATGTTTTTTACAGTTATTTTTTTATTTCTTTTACATTAAAATATAAGTTATTAGAATAAATATAGCCATATAGGTGTAAGTGGAAAAATATTTAAAATGTTTAAAATGTTTACCAACACACATATGATTTTTCAAAAATTATTATTTTATTTTTATTTATATTATATAATTATTTTAACATTTTTAACCCAACTAGTATAGGCTATGTATAGGCATACTAATGGCTATACAAATTAGTGTTTGAAGTTACGCATTGGGCCATTGGGGCANGTATAGGCTATGTATAGGCATACTAATGGCTATACAAATTAGTGTTTGAAGTTACGCATTGGGCCATTGGGGCAAGATTGGGTCGATTTAAATTTTTTTCCTTTCTAAGTTGGCAGATTTGAATTTGAAAATTTTTGTTTTTCCCTTATCACTTTGGGGTATCATTAAATATGAAGTTGGCTTCACTGTATTATGGTCTAACTGTCTACGGCATAACCTCACTTATCAATATTGTCCGTCGACGGTCTCTCAAAACTTTTTGCTTACCTTTTTACTTTCAGTGTCAATTGTGAAAATGTTTTATGGTATTTAATTTTTGGATTGTGTTCGTCCATTAACTAGGATTCAACATGAAGGTAATGTTAACTCTTTAATATCTTATTTGTCGATTATACGAGTTTTAATTTTAACAAAATTGTTATTTTATGAGATGCAATTGGATAAAGTTGGAAAAATTGTTTAACAACATGGTATCGAGTACCGACAAATCTTACATCGACAAAAAATAATTCGTCGAGTTTTATTTTTATTTCGTGGTTTATTAATATATTAATACATTATTGTATTGGGCTACTTATGTGATTCGTTGAAAAGCACTGTAATTTAATCATGAACTAAACGTTTGGTTCGGCTATTATTTTCATTACATATCCTTATTGAGTTTCTTTAAATTATGTTTGCAAACTTTTTCCCCGTGATTTCTCCCATTGACTCAATTTCGTTGAGGGAGCGAATGAATTTTTTGAGATTTATTCATCAGAATTAACTGGCAGTTCTTCAACAATTTTGTTTGTTAAATACGATGGTGTTCAGTATCTTAAATTTTAATACTGTCTAAAATTGGTTTTAAATTATATATACATACGTGCATGTAATATGTTGTGTATAAACAATTATTACCTACTTCTTGTAAATTTATTTGAGACTAACAAAACATTTAATGCATTTTAACTTACAGTGGCATATGCACTTAAGTTATACTAAGTTACCTTACCAGTAGTATTCTGCATTTAGGCATTACACTGACAAAATACTTTACTTTTATTTAATATAGGTTTCATAAGTTTTGTATACTTATCATTGTCATCCACCTAATAACCTATTAATTAAATTATTTTATGTTATTTAATAGTTAAACGTATCATATCCAGCCACAGGCAGCCAAAAGCTGTTTGAAATCGTAGATGAGCACAAGCTGCGTGTCTTCTATGAAAAACGTATCGGCACTGAAGTTGAAGTTGATATACTTGGCGATGAATGGAAAGGTTATGTGCTAAAAATATCTGGAGGCAATGACAAGCAAGGTTTCCCCATGAAACAAGGTGTTCTCTCTAATGTCCGAGTGCGATTATTATTATCCAAAGGACATTCGTGTTACCGTCCTAGAAGGGATGGTGAACGCAAGAGAAAATCAGTTCGTGGATGTATTGTTGATTCCAATCTTAGCGTTTTGTCATTGGTTGTTGTCAAAAAAGGAGAGAAGGTATTTATAATTATTATAACGAATAAACAAGTAATTTTTCCGATGGATTCATTTTTTATTTATGAATGTTAATAGTTCTTATTAGTTTGAAATACACCTAAACTAATGTGCTGCATGTAAATTAGATTTTATTGGGACACATCTAATATTTTGTGTTATTTTCCCCAATAATTTAATACCAAATAAAATACATACCCATACACTCCTGTCTAGCAAGGGAAAACATTGTTTCTGCACATCCTGCTTCACCTTACTACTGAAATTGGTTCACCTGTGTTAGGTTGAGATGTGCAGATAAATCAATGTTGGTTGGCTCACGGTGTGTTCTCTTGCTGAAAAGAGTATAAGTACTAATTTTTTAAGAAACTTCATATTTTATTAATATTTGAAAACAAAAATAGGTAGAACTGATTTTTACTCTTCACAAATTGTTAACGTTTGTGGTCTGAGCAGATGTCTAAAGCGTTTATGCGACTAGATATAGAAAAATGTCCCAATTACATAATTAAGCAACTAAGAAATACCTAAATACAGTTAGGTACTTACATAGATTTAAATGTAGAATAACAAGAATACTTCAAATACAATTGTTGTTACGGTTGATTAAATTGTATATGGCAAGGTGTTAAGTCAATTTGTTTATGTTCGGTTCAGTAAAAAAGGTTAGGTTTGTGTTTGTTAAAATATTTTAAAGATCAATTGACTTCAAAAATCAGGGTCCAACCCACCATTATTTATTTTCTCCATTGATTGGAGTCTATTGTATTAATATTTAATGCCAAAATATATAATTTCAAAAATTTTCTCTTTAGGACCCGACATTTTCCTGTTGATTTATTTTAAATAATATTTTGACATCGGAATGACGGGAAATTAATATTCGTTTAATGTTTTAAGAATGATTACTCTATTGATCATTGTTAGTGTATAAGCGTTACATTTAAAGTTAATTTCTTGTGTTTAAATCTACTTTTCCAGACATTCCTGACATTGAATAATCCATGTATAAGCAACTATATATAGAAGTTGTGTAACAAGTTAATCTACAACTGAGTTTAACTTTTTATTGTTAACTAGTTTACATAACCTATATAATTTCTTTTGAACCCGACATTTTCCTGTTGATTTATTTAAAATAATACTTTGACATCGGAATGACGGGAAATGAATTTTCGCTTAATGTTTTAAGAATGATTACCCCATTAATCATTGTTAGTGTATAAGCGTTACATTTAAGATTATGTGCCCTGATGTATTTAATCATTAATATTTTGATGTTCTATGTTAATCTCTTGCATTTAAGTAAAGTATTCTAAGTAACACCCAATTAATATATTTCTAAAAATTGAACCTTATTGTTTAGTGTTGACATGTTCATTACCACTGGTATACTGGAAAATAAAATAAATATTTTAAAAAATGCGAATCTAGTGGAGCAATTAAAAGCCCAACAATATCATCTTATTAGTAAAGATATGTTGCGTAAATTGATATAAAATTTTTAGAAAAAAAAACAAGTATCAGGAAACTAAGTTGTATCATTTATACATTTTCTCAATTCTTTTGAACCCCGACATTTTCCTGTTGATTTATTTTAAATAATATTTTGACATCGGAATGACGGGAAATTAATATTCCTTTAATGTTTTAATAATGGTTATTGTTGATCATTTTTAGTGTTCAAGCGATACATCTTCTTTGTATTATTATTTACTCTTTAATGAAGTATTCTTTTATTTCAATTTAAATTAATTATTGTCACTTCTTAGGATATTGCTGGGTTAACCGACACAAATGTCCCGAGACGACTTGGACCTAAACGTGCAAACAAAATCCGTAAGTTGTTCAACTTGCAAAAAGAAGATGATGTACGTAAGTACGTCATTAAAAGACCTTTGCCACTGAAGGAAGGAAAGACCAAACAACATTTCAAGGCCCCGAAAATCCAACGTCTCATTACTCCTGTCCGTCTTCAGGTACTAAAATTGAAATAAAGATTTTTAATTCTTTACAAAATGTAGAAGTTATTTGTTAATAATAATCTTTCTTTTTCATTTCTAGCGTAAACGTCATAATTTGGCATTAAAGAAGAAACGTTGTTTGAAACGCAAAGAACAAGCTACTGAATACGCCAAGCTTCTTGTACACAGACAAAAGGAAAAGTTCGCAAAGAAACGGGCTGAACAGAGCCGTAAACGTACTATGTCTCAATCGTCTGTTTCTAGTTCTGGCACAAAGAGCAGTAAAAAATAAATATGGTTAAATAAAACAATTTTTTTTTAATCATAGCTTTGTTGTTGTTTTTTGTTTCAATCAAGAAGTCCTCGACCAGTTTTATCTGTTTATGGTTAGGAGGGTAGTGGTTTTTTTTTTATTCCATTTCAATATGAAAATAAAAACTAATATATTACATCTAAAAGAAAAAAAAGAAACTATTCATTTTTAAATATTATAGCACATTTATACAGTATTTTTGGTAATATCTAATCTTGAATTTACTTCTTGGTTGGTTGATAATATTCGGCCTAGACCCGTGTCTCAAACTCAAATTAACTGCTGGCCATATATTTATCCATCAAATTTGGATTAGCAGATCATTTTTGTTCTTTTACTACTTATGTTAGTTAATGATTTATGAGGAATCGTGAGTTGAATCAAAAAATGTATATTACATGTTAAATAATATTATATTAATAATTATTTGACAATCTATAAAAACTAAAATGTATATTAAAAAAAAATGTTAATCGTCCATTATTAATATTTACTGTCTTAAAATCAAACTAGATAATATGAGTATCATTGGCAAAACAACCTAATCTTACCAAACTAATAAACTCCCATCTCCATTGACATGACACTATTTTAAAATTGAGTACAAGTCTCAATAGGAAAATATGTCTGATTTACAAATCATCAGACCACCAGTATGGGAGAAAAACCAATAAAATGCATTTTGTGGAAGTATTTCGGTCTATTGGAAGGTCAGCATTGTTAATGCAAAACGTGGTTGTGACTTGTGAGTGAGATATGCAGTGTCCACCATCTGTGAGGTCCGAATGTCGTAATCAGGAAAGACGGCAAAGATTAAATTAGTTTAATTCAGACTACAGAGGAACATTAATTATTTTTCGTGCGGTCGTTTAAAATATAATAATCAACGTTGACCGTTGAGTAAATTGTGTCTTATGTATTAGCACGTATGACACTCATACCTCATAAGTCTCTACCTATTTATTAATAGTTGATTCTTATAAATGTGCATATGTAATGAACCATTGATTTTATAATAAACTATATTATAAAATCATTGGTGTAGCAAAAATATACTTGAGAATTTGTACTAAAAAATCTTGAAATAGATTTTGGTATCTTAATTTCCTGATTTTAGATTCTGAGCAGAGCGATATGTGTTTTTTGTCTTTTTTGTGGCTGTTATCATATTTTAGAACAGTAAAAGTGTTTCTATTTTCTTCAACAGCATCTTTTCTGGTAGGAAAGTGATTCTAGTAAGTACTCAGGGGGTCAAAAATAAAAAATTGGATAAGTGGTTGTCGCTCTATCGTACATTAGGTGTCTAGAAGGTTGCTGTAATGGACAGAGAGTAGTCCAGGTTTTGGTGGCTTTCGCCTACGTCCGTATACCTTACCTTAGCCTAGGGCTACTCAAGGGATACGTACGATTACGGTCGGATTTTACCCCTCCCGCACGTCTTCGATGTATGGAACACGAGCACCGGCCTGTCACCGTACCCGATTTGAAATCAGCCTTTCGGGGCTTCTTTCCCGTTGGGTCGTCGGTTTTGCACTATCCAGCGATTACTCATGCCACAGCCACTACGTTTCAGCCGAGGTAGGCTCCTCAACCTTGAGGGGCACTGTCCCTGGCACGGCGAGCCGTGTCAGCTACAGTGGGGCTCCCCTCTCCCGTAGTACCAACTTGGTTTTACCGTTGGTGTCAGATGAACCCACTATTCTAGCTCCGAAAAACCGGCTAGTGGTCGGCCTTGAAGGGGGATATTGATCAAAGATCGCGGGTCCCCCTTCCCAGCAGGGTGCCTATTACCCTGGATGGTTTCGGTTTCCCTGGGTACCATCAGACCCTCCTCTCCCCGTTAATCGCCTTTTACGATAGGCCGGAAGCCACCGGTGTCGTATTCTATTCCCCGACACCAGGGTTTGCTGTAATGGACAGTATTAAATTTGAATTCAATTTTAAAATCGTGTATTGTATACGAAAAAAAATTCTGGGTGGCGACATGTCAGTCTAGGATAATTTATATTGTTATTACTTTTTAATTATACGGTAGCCGTAAGTTGAATTAAAATTATCAGTATTGCTGGAAAAATATATAAACTTTTGTAAAATTTGGCTGCTTCGGAACCGTTTTTTACAATAAAATGACTAATAATCATTATTCTTTTTGTGAATATGTAATTTCGTCTAATTTGAACTTAAAATGACAACAAAAATAACTGTGTTTATGTTTATTTTTAGATTTTTTGGTTTCAGAATAATCTACTTACGTAAACCTTGTCTTAAATTGTCGATCCTTAGCTATATAATTTGAATATTTAATAATTTTATTTTTAACTACCAAGTCATTTTTCAATTCGAGAAATTTTGTCAACATTTGAACTTAAAATATTATAGAACAAAAAGTGCCGCTGTATTTTCAATATTTTTCAACTGGTATTGATAAAATAAATCAGGAGCCTTGTATTAAATTTTCACAATTTTAAACCTAACAAATAAAAGAAGTCTAAATATATTGTAAGTTTTATCAAGTATATGAACTGATTAAATAAGCATTTGGTGTAAATTTCAAGTGTCTACAGTTATTTGTTTTTGAATTACAAAAAAATAAAATCGTTACATGAATCAATTGAATAGGTAGTATAAATTTTAACTTCAAATGCTCATACAAATTTAATTTGACTTTCCGATCGAATTTTTTTTTTGATAAAGGTAGAAAAACGTATCCGCATACGAGTCCTTACTCTTATATTTGCTAATTTTCGTGATTTTCACGAACTGTCAAAATTCTAAATTCAAACGCTCATAATAAATTATTGTGGATATTAAGGATTTACGAGACTTTCTAAAATATCTACCTACAACAACTTACGAAGAACCTTGTGTTACATTTTCAAGTTGTTTGACTTAGTGAAATTTTTTTTATCGAAATTAGTAAAAAAAAAATCTTAATCGAAAATTGTATATATGTAGTTCAACACGAGTCAAAATATTTTGGAAATTGTATGGTGTGGCAAATGGTAACGCAAACATCCAGTGAAAATTTCATGTATCCATGATCATTCTTTTTAGAGTTATACAATTTCACCTTCCAATCGCACTAACTATATAGATTCATTTTTCTACCAAAAAAATTGCTGATGAAGAAATAAGATCAAAGCACTCTTACTGCCCCAAAATGTGATGATAGAAAAAAAAAATTTAAAAAACAACATAGTGATTTTTCTATTGATTTCCATACAGTTATCGATTTGCTCGGAATCTAAAATTCAGAGAGTTTAGAATTTTGACAAAATTCGTAAAAATCATGAAAGTTTGGAAATATTTTCGAGTTAGAAATTCGAAAAAGTTTGTTATGAGTTTGTCGTCTACCTTTAACAAAAAGAAAATTTTTAACGTAAAGCTGAATAAAATTTTATAGTTAAAATTTAAAGTTGACATTTTTACATTGGATGTTTAATCACTTCGTTACTTTGATGTATTCAAAAACGAATTACTGCAGGTTAGGTACTTAAAATTAACATCATATGTTTATTTTATTAATTCATATACTGGACTAAATTTTGAATCCTTTATAACTGTTGACGGACATTTTCAATTATTCAATTGTTTTAGTTTTTTCTTTTTATAAATATCAATACAATTTTATTTGTCGAGTCAAAAAGACTCTTGATATATTATTTCAATATCAGTTGAAAAATTTTAAAAATACATGGCATGTTTTTTTTTTATAAGCAAGTTAGAAGTTTGATAAAATGTATGTCATTTAAAATGTACAAACAACTTTATAATTAAACATTTTTTTTAATGTTCCACTTTTATAACTAAGAGTGGAAACATTTAAAATAAAGTTCCATGGAAGAAAGTTATCCTGTAACCAAAAAATTTAAAAATTTTTAAATGCACAGTTAGTTTTTTTTGTTTTTTATGCTAAGACGTGGACGAATTTACATAGTATTAAACTATTAAACAAGAGTAATAATTTAAGTTATTTTATTGTAAATTAAAAATATAATTCGTAGGTACTTGAAAATTTTTAAGTATATTATTATATTTTTTACACATCATGACTTTTAAGTGTATTTTTTTGCAATGCAATTATTTTAATCACAATAATATCATCAAATATATTAAATTTCTAAGTAATATTATAATATTATAAACTGGCGACCGCCTTCACTCAGAATCATTTTTTGTAACCAATGATTTTATATCATTGAATTCAAATTTTTACACCACCCATTACAGTGATCCACCTGTACACTAGAGTGACATCCACTTACCCTCTTTTTTTATGAACCTAAAGGACAAATAAAATTACAGTTTGAAAATAAATTTCAAAAATCTGTTTCTAAGGTTTTTTAGTAACTTTTCATGTATTTTTGCTACAAAAGCTATGTTTCTACGACCAATGAGGCCTGAAACATAATATAGGTGCTTCCCTTCCATAGTACATGCCTTTTTGACAAAAGCTACAGCAATTTAAAGCTAAAATTAGCAATTAGTTTACTAAGGTTCCACTCCAACACATATCTTCCATCTCAATACCTCGATGTATTAAAAGAAATTGGTCCGAGGAATTTTTAAACTATTATTCTGAAATTCTGTTACAGAATGGTCAATTTTACATGTTTATTGTACTACATTTTATTTATCAATATTTTTACTTATTATTATTTATAGATAGATATATGTTTTTGTAACTAAAGTCAAAAAGAATAGTTAATATAAGAATAGGATTATTTTCAGTACTACAATAAAATGAAGAATAATTATTTGATAATATTCTCATACAAGTTTTTAGTAAAATATAGTATAGAATTTGTTTATATTAATTCTTTTAAATTTTTTTATAATAATAATAATATAGCATGCCAAATAAATGAAAGTATTGTAAGACTCAACCAATCATGTGCAATTGATACAATTCAGGTGGACATTCTTTTAAAACTAAATTGTGACCTTTGAATTATGTTAATCATATAAATTACATAGAATATCAGAATGAAACCCTTGAAACTTTTAATTCAAA